GATGGGCATGGGGGGAGGGGGCTGCCCTGGCCCCCTCACCCCTGCTCAGACCTGTGCCCTTTCCCACCTAGTTCCCAGGCCCCCTTCATGCCCGTGAAGCCATTCAATGTTTAAATCCAGGCTGTGTAGCAGCCAGGTTGCTCTAGCAACAGCCCTGTATATTTTGGGCTGGATTACCAAGTTTTTCAAAGGGTCTCTTGCCGCTCCAGGCCCTGAGGGGGGATGCAATGTGGGCTGGGAGACCATGCTTACTTGCTAGGAGGAGAGGCTGAGGTTCATACTCCTCATTCGAGGCATAGAGATGCGGTTGTCCATGGGACACAGCCACAGGACTCGAAGGTCAGAGAGAGGGCAGGCTTCGTCCAGTTTTCAGAATCTGGACTTGAACCCAGGACTTGTGTCAGCCAGTCTCCTCTCTTTACCACTTGTTTATGCTGTGAGCATGTTGTCTGTTAGCCCATCCACCAGCAGGGTTCCTAGCACTTAGCAGCAGTGTGCCCTCTAGGGTCTGACTCCCAGTCCTGCCCCTTCCCAGCTGGGCCAGCATGGGGCGCTCACTTACGTCCTCTGAGCCTCAGTAACTCGAGGATAACTCGCCCTGTGTAGATGATATTGGAACCCTGCTCAGCATGGTTCCTGCCACACGTGAAGCAGGAGCAGCTATTATATTGCTAATGTTCCGTCCAGAACCCCCTTGTGTCCTGAGGGGACTCAGAGGAAGTGGGAGCACTGTGCCGGCCATGGAAGGCTTCTGTCTGGTGGGGAAGGTCTGACAGCAGTGACACATTCAGAGAGCACACTCCTGCCCCTTGCGTCCTAGGAGTCTGAGCTGGCCTCCTTTCCCGTTTCCTCGATGCCCATGCCATCACCCAGAACCCAAGTGTGCCCGCACAGCCCAGCGGGACTGCCCAGGTGTGCCCGACTGCACCTGTCCTCCCTGGGCCCTGGGAATGTCTGCTTGTGTCTTCTGACACCTGCCTTTCCCCAGATCACCAGGTTGGCAGTCGGGGAAACTTCCCTGGAGGGCTCAGCAGGGGCGAAGGACAGGGCAGGATCTGCCTCAGGAGGCGGGTGTTCTCCCTCCTCCCTCCGCCCTCCTTTGTCCCTCCCAGCCCGGCAACTCAGTCCCTCATGCTGCCTCGGCTACATTTCGCTGGTGGGCACCACCCTGAACTTGGATTCATGTTCTGAGGCCAAATCCTGCTCCCGACACACAGAGTGCCCTCCACCACTCATGCTCATGACCAAGTTCAGATTGGCCAGGTTGCCTTGCCTTCAGCGCCTGGACCGTGGCAAGTAAAAGTCTCTGCAAGAGGAAGCAGAACCTTCGTTCCCAGAGGCCTTTGCAATAGGGCCGTCTCCGTTCAAAGGCAGGAACACAGACTCACTGCCTGGGTCTGGGATGAGCACTCCCTGTGGCTTGAGTCCAGCCCAGGTCCACGTGGGTGGGTGGGAGCCCTGGACCGTGGTCACTCTGGGGCTCAGCAGGCCCAAGTCCCAGAGGCCACACCTTTGGAGGACAGCCAGGGAAGGGTGAGGAATCCTGCTTTGTCCCAGCAATTTCTCCGGCCTCCTGTGATACTCTGGGCCAGTGATTTCACACCTCTGAGCCTCAGTTTCCTCACTTGTAAAGCAGGCGTGCCCATCTCCAGGGGTAGTTGGGGCAATTCAGTGAGGTAATATAGGAAAAGTGCTCTGGAAGTCACGATAAAGTAAGATGTCAGTCTTAGGTGGCTGGCTGCGTGGGGGGAAAGCAGCAGGCTTAAAATCAGCAGCTCCCGGTTCCAGCCCCGCTGTGTGACTTTAGGCAAGACCCTGCCACTCTCTGGGCCTCGGCATCCCCAGTGTGAAAAGCCGGTTTTCGAGTTACCCCTCACTAAGGTGCTTTCTTCTTTGGAGATTCTCTGATGGAAACAGCTTGTGCAAGTTCTGGGTGGGACAGAGGAAAGGGCTTGTGGCAAGGACTGAGCGCCCAAGTACTGCCTCAACTCCTAGACCAGAGACATGTCCTTCCCAGATGCCATGGACATTCACGATTTGCTTTGCCCCCTGGACATTCATGATTCAGTGGGTCTGAGGGAGCTGTCATTTGGGATCCCATTGCATCCAAGGCAGGTTGCCTGGTACCGTTAACCCTCAAGGCACCACTCCCAGGAGCCTAATTAGATTTTATCCCCCACTCAGCTGTGTCCATGTCCCCATGTCTGTGCCATTGCCAGGCACTCCAGGATTTAGGGCCAATTGCTTGTTTATCAGACCGTCTGTCTCCGGGATGAGGCCCAGCAGGCGCAGCCAGAGCACAAATAAGTCCTCCCCACTCAGCTTTGAACCTGACGGCTAGCATCATTGTTATTCTGACCAGCCTCCTCCGTCCGGATGAAGGAAAGCGTGGCTCTTAAAACCTGGTGTCCGTTCTGGCTCTGAGACTTGTCTGACCTGTAGTAGAGTTTCTTCCCTTTTCTGTAAAAGGGAATGATGATAATATCTATTTTGCAGTTTTTTTCAAGTAAGATAGTGTTGGTAATGGCCCCTGGCACAGTATACTCTCATTGAGCCCAATGAATGTTGGTCCTCCCTGTCCTCCCCACACACAGGCCTCCCCAGCTTCTAGGATCCCCTCCAGCCCTTTCTCTCTCCTGCTGGGCATGCCCAGAGCGCTAGGTTGATGGCTGTAAACACTCCTCCCCAGGTGCCGGGTTGTTGCTTCTCACTAGACTTGAGCAAGTCCTTGGTCTCCGTGCCTTGGATCCAGCCCAGGGCTGGCATTAGTAGGTGTCTGGCACACACAGGAAGGAAGGAACTGGATGTGCAGCGGCTAAAGTGCTTTCACCGACATCATCTCCTTCACTTCTCTCAAGGACCCTGGGAGTTAGATTGAGAAACCCCATGGCACAGATGAGGAAACAGGCTCAAGGTGTTGAGGAGGGTGGCCCAGGTCTCAGCTTGTCAGGGCAGAGACCCTGCTGGTTGGAACCCAGGGTTTGGGGGTGAGGCTGCTCCTGCACCACAGTGCCCTCACCTGGCAGGGGCGCATACAGGACGTTTCTCACTCTCCAGCAGCCCAGACTTACATTTGCTTCCTCTGGTGGGGGCTTCTCCATCGCTGATGTCCACTTGTCTTCTTTTCTCTCTCTCCAGAGAGCATGCCTGGGGGCTGGGGGCAGTGAAAGTAAAAGGAGTGATTTATGAACTGAGCTGTCCTTCTTAATCAGAGAACCCCGCTCTGTGCAGATGGGACTGAGGCGCCATCTGGGGCAGTGGGAGGGGCAACATTAATAAAGCTGTCTGGCCTTGGCAGGGGCCTGCAGAGGAGACCCCTGAGGCACTGCGTGACCTCGCCCCGTCTCTGCCCCTCTCTGGGCCTCAGGGCCCCCATCTGTCAAGGGATGGCAGTTTCGGGTTACCCCCCAGAGGCCTCTAGCTGGCACAGGAGGGATGCTAGCTGGTCCCTGGGATTCTGCCTTGTTGCCTGATTCGGGGCAGAGCAGCACTGGGTTTGAGACTTGGGGACCGAGGCATAGCGCTTGCTCTTCCTGGTGTCCTCTCTCTGGTACCAGGTCCATGGACTGGTGTTTTGTCAGGAGCTCTGTTTTGGAGTCCAGCAAACTTGGGCCTGAATCATGGCCATGTCTTACTAATCACGTGAATAAAGTCAGGCCAGTTAATTACATTCTCTGAGCCTCAGTTTCCTCATCTGTAAATGACATAATGCACCCACTTCCTCGGTGAGGATGAAACAAGAGAAGAAGGTGAAATGCTTAGCATAGTCTGGTACATGGTAACTGCTCAGTACTGTTAGTTACTACTAGGTTCAGTTATCACAACACTGTAAACATTAATTTGAATTTGGGGCCTTAGGGGAAAGGTGTTTTTACCCATCCTGAGTCAGCCATATGTCCATGGTCCTCTCCCGCGCTCACCTCCATGGGTAACTGGTGGATGTGCTTCGAGCATCCACTTATTTCCCATCTGTGACAATGCTGCCCCCGGCAACTGTGCTTTCCTGGTTTCCACGTGTTTCCATATTACATCGGTTCATTTTATGTCTCATACCATGAATTCCTACAACCACCTTTGGCTTCAAAATGGAGAATCACCGTGTTCAGAGGAGAATTTAACAACTCCGGGAGGGAAGTGACTTTGTAACGGTCTCAGGGAGCTGGCCCAGGCAGGTGTGCCCAGCGAGGTGTGCCAGGCTGTGCAGAAGAAGTGGCGGTGGAGTGAGCATGGACCGGCCTGAATGGGAAGAAGGAATCTGAACGGGCACCTGAGACCCAGAAATCCTCCCTGTCTCCCCTGTCCTCCCCGTGGGGATGCACAGCAGCCCAAGCTCCCGGGCCTCAGATCTCCCCTGAAACTTGTCCTCTAGCCCAGTGTCTGAGCAGGAGCCGGCTGTGGAATTCCCCACGAGTCTGGTAGAACTGGCCTTTCCACCTGGGCACATTTAACTGCTGAAACCAGACCTTCATTTCCACTGCCGGGAGCTGACTCTCTGTAGGACCCTTCTGGCAAGTCCTTATGCGAAGCTACGGAACCCTTTCCAACACCAGATTTCTCTCTCGGGGGAGATGGGGTACCTGGGAAGGGGCTTTGATGAACAGGGCCCCGCACTCTCTACTGAGGTATCATTGCAGATGCCCAGGTGGCAGCCAGGTACATGGGCCACCCATGCCCATTGTCTCCTCCCAGCTCATCAGCCACATGCAGTGTGGCAGCGTAGATGAAGCCGTGCCAGAAATTGCCAGTCTTTTGAAGATGTTCCCCACGCAGCCCCAGCAGGGGCACCTAGAGCTGCCATCTGGGCAGAAGGCGGGCATCCCTGCCGGCCTCTGCAGCTGGAGGGGCCCAGGTGCTGAGGGCTTTTCATTAGCCCTAATGGGCCTAGATGAGCGAGGCACTTGCCTGAGTGTGTGTCCGGAGGGCGGGTTTTCATAAACGGCTTCTTGAACATGGCTGTGCCTTAATGACTTCCTATAGTAATTGAATATTTTCTCTTATAGGACAAGCCGGGCCAATAACAGAATTATACAGCAGCCCCTCTGACCAGGAGACTCTGTCCTGCTGACGCCGAAAGCACTGCCCAGGTGACAAGTCAGCAACTGCCTCCTCTTCACTCTGTGCCCCTCCTCCCTCCCCCTCAATTCTTTCTGTCCGTCTGTCTCTTCCTGTATCACTTCTTGCTCTCTCGCTCTTTCTCCGTCTTTCTCCATCTTTCTTTCTGACTCGTCTTTATCTATTTCTCTGATATGCTGACCATTGTCCTCTATCTGTTTTCTCTTCCCACCATTCATTCATTCAGACATATTAACTGGGGACCTGCCATGGGCCAGGCGCGGCTCGAGGCACTAGGAAGGTGGCGGTAAACAGGTCCATGCCTTTAGGAAGTGTACATTCTAACAGCGGGAGATGTGTGCTACCAGAATCAATGAGTAAAACTTCGATAAGTAGTGTATCCATGGGCACTGGTCTGGGCTTCAGTTTCAGATCCTCCACTAGTTGGTTTGGGAACTTGGCCAAACCCCCTTTCCCTTTCTCAGCCTCAGTTTGCTCATTTCCAATGTGAGGGTGTTGGAACAGATCAGCGCCACCCTGACTTGTTATGACCAAGAACTTCTTTCACCGAAATGCTGGTGACACAAGTTGTACGAGGGCTAAGCTCGAACCAGCACTTACACAAACAGCGGTGTCAAAGGAAAGCTCCCCTTAAATCCCCTCAAAGCTCTTAAACACCTGGTTTTGTTATACAAGAAACAATCGGCTGCATCCAGGGGAAAGAACACCCATCTGTAAGCCCGGAACCCTCACTCGGCCAGGTGCGGGGACACGGTGGCAGGCACAGGTGCCTTGAGACCACGAGACCCAAGGCAGCAGGCCCAGGGCTCTCCCCGGTGCTCCCCGGGGGCAGATGCCCCAGAACTCAGCACCGAAGCTGCTCTCCTGCTCGCTTTCCCAGTGCACGTGGGACATTGAATTCACACGAAGTCAAGTTCGCCTGTGATGCTGACTCCCACATTTCATCCCTCTGAGCCCTAAGACTTCAAGGATTTTATCTACCAAACAGGGTTGCCTTCACTAGGTCATTGGTTAAGTACATGTTAAAGTTCCACCTTCGTGTTTGGACTGCAAAGTCCTACATACCTAGTGGCCAGAGCTTCTGAATAACCCAAGAAACAGGGTCCCCCACCCTGGGGTGGTTTACTTGCTCTAAAACCCAAGACACGTGCCTGGCCAGTGGTGAGGGGTTGATTTCTGAGATGTTATTGGATGTCCTGAAAATAGCTGTAGGATATGGTTAGTGGCAGGGAACCCAGTTTGAGAACCACTGCACACACTCATCTCCCCACTCAGAAATTCTCCACGTCAGAGTCCTTACCTCTCCTGACAGGGAACAACCGCTAATGCAGCCGGTTGGGGTCTGGAAGGGCAGGTAGAGGAGCTGCCTGGTGGCTGGGCAGCGGGAGGAAGGAAGGGACAGGGCCACCAGGGGGAGGCCTGAGGAGCCTTGCTGTTTTGCAGGTGGAGCCATGGAAGGTGACTGTCTGAGCTGCATGAAGTACCTGATGTTTGTTTTCAATTTCTTCATATTTGTAAGTATTCCTGGAGCGTGCCTGGGGTCGCCCTAGGTCTCAGCTGAGTGGGTAGAACCGACTGCTGCTGGAAATAGTCACAATGGGCTGAGTCCCAGGGCGGGCACAGGGGCCAGGGTTTCCTGGATGGGAGGCCCCGGCGGTGCCCACCCCCCTCCCCCGCCGTTCTAGGAGAGACATTTTTCCTGGGCCCGGGATGGTCCAGCTCCTCCGACAAAGAGTGAGGGCCTCAGTCCTGGCCACTGTCTTAGGATCTGACCCCGGGTGGGTTTGGGGAAAGGAGGAGATGGGGTGATCAGAGGACAGCAGAGGGAGCCCCACGTAGCCCCGACCCCCAGAGCCTTACAGACGTCAGCTGGAGGGGAACCTGATAGATTTAGAAACCTCTCTAGAACTGGGAGACCTAGATTCAAAGCCAAGCCTAGCATCTTAGCTATGCGATTTGAAGCACACTTCACCTCTCTGAACCTCAGTATCTTCATCCCTTCATTACCTACCTCAACAGGTCTTTTAAAAAAATTAAGCAGGATGAGGAAGTGCCTGCCTTGCGTCAGCACTCAGTAGCTGAACCCCATCCCCTCCCACCTATGATGGACAGAGCCCAGAGTGCTCAGGTGGCCGGCAGCACTGCCCACCTGCCGACAGCCACCAAGGCTCTGCTCTGGCCCGTGACCATGCCCAGGAGAGAGCCACGCTCCTGGCGTCCTGAGCCCCTACAGGCTTTCCTGACCCACCTGAACCTTTGATCTTAGTGCAGCCAAGACCTCGATGATTAAATGTCCACCAGTGTCCTCCAGGGGAGGGCCACTATGAAAAAGAGGCCCCTTTCTGGTAAGGCTGACTGTGTCTGTCTCTCCATCCATTTTTTATTCATCTCAGCAACTGTCCTGGATTCCCTCCCCTGCCCCATAATTCTGAAGAGCAGGAAGCCCGACAGACTTGAATTCTAGACCCAGTTTCTAAGCTGGGTGACCCCCGGCCAGCCCCAGTGTCTCCAGCTGAAGTGGGCGGAGTCACCTGGGCAGCTCAGTCTGCTCAAGCCCTCCTTGCAGCGGACCTCAGCAGACCCCAACCCTCCACCAGCCATGAGGAGGGACACAGGTCACACTGGAGGCTGGTCAGGACCAATGACAGAAGCAAAATTGTCGGTTTTCCCTTCCTCTCTCTTCCCGCTGCCGGGTGCCTCCAGCCCCTCCACCCCACTCCTGCCCTAACTGCCTAAAATATCATCTCTTGCCCCAAACTGTGCAGCGCTTCCCCGCAGCTTGCAGACCCCGCTCAGCCAAGCCAGAGCTCGGCAGTTTGCTCCTCCCACCATCTGTCATTCATTCTTCAGGCCCCCGCACCACACAGGGATTTCAGACACTTTACAGCCTTTAAAATCCAACAATGCCAAACTGGCTCTCCTGCAACTGATCTGTTTCCAGTATTCTGTGCCCAGGACAAATGGAATGGATATTTATTGAAACCTGCTAAGTACATTCACATCCATTCTGTCCTTTCTTCCTTGGGAGATGGGAATTACTATCTTTTTTTTTTTTAACTGTGAGGAAGCTGAAGTTCAGAGAGGTGAAGCCACTTACCCAAGGTCACACAGCTAAGAAGTACCACAGCCCTTTCTCTGATCTATGCTGCCTCTCTCCAAAGATGAGTAAGGCATGGAGAGATGGGCCATGCAGATGAAGACATAGACACGAAGGCTTTCCAGGTGCAGATTTGAGAGTGGGGAGCCCAAACTGAGAGTGGGGAGCCCAGCCTGAGCTCCTGTTGGGGACAGAAGGGATGGCTTCTGTCTGTGTTTTCCTGTCCCTGGCAGGGTGCAGGCACAGTGTAGGTGTCAGTGCATGTTCCGGGAGTTTGGTGAGTGTCCTTGGGGCTGGAGTCAGGGAGGCCAGGGTCCTGCCTCGAAATTGTGTGTGACCTTCAGCAAGTCGCTGGCCCCCTCTGGGGCTCAGTATGGAATCTGAGGGTTGGACTAGGTGACCTCCTCACCCTGCAGCTCTGACATTTAAGGGGAATTTAAAAGTAGCAAGTAGCCCTAACAGGTTTGGCTCAGTGGATAGAGTGTCGGCCTGCGGACTGAAAGGTCCCGGGTTCGATTCCGGTCAAGGGCATGTACCTGGGTTGCGGGCACATCTCCAGTGGGGGAGGGGGGTGCAGGAGGCAGCTGATCGATGTTTCTCTCTCATCAATGTTTCTAACTCTCTGTCCCTCTCCCTTCCTCTCTGTAAAAAATCAATAAAATATGTTTAAATAAGAATAAAAAATAAAAGTAGCAAATAAACTCCACATACATGGTTCTCAGCAGGCCGAGGGGGGGGGCTGGGGCAGAGGTTGGGTTGAGACCAGGTCAGAGTAAGTAGGAAGACTCGGAGCAGTGACCAGCGGTGCTGGGACTCCGGCTCCTACAGCAAATGGAGTTCCCGCCCGGCTCACCAGGGCCCACCGCCTCCACCGGGCCTCGCTCGGGAAGGTGTGTGGGGGGGGTATCTAATACCTAACTCCGTTCTTCTGTTTCGTCCCCTCCCTCCTGACTGACCCGCGAGCAGCTGGGTGGGGCCTGTCTGCTGGGCATTGGCATCTGGGTCATGGTGGACCCCACTGGCTTCCGAGAGATCGTGGCTGCCAACCCCTTGCTCATCACGGGCGTCTACATCCTCCTGGCCATGGGGGGCCTGCTTTTCCTGCTCGGCTTCCTGGGCTGCTGCGGCGCCATCCGGGAGAACAAGTGTCTGCTGCTGTTTGTGAGTACTGCCATCCCCGCCCCACCATGGGGGCCCGGTCCCGACCCTGCAGGGACTCGCCCCGAGGTCTGGACCAAGCAGGCCATCCTCCTGGAGTGGGGAGGTCGCCAGCCTTTCCCATGGGGACTTGCAGCCCCAGCTTCCAGAGCTTGCTCTGTGCTGGGCCAGGCGGGCCGTGTGGGCAAGCTGCCCCCACGTGGAGAGTGGCCTCAGCCTCCAGATCCAAACAGCCAGGCTCCTCCATGGCATTGTCAATGGAGAATGTTGGCCACGATGCTTATCTACTTGCTTACTTTTAAGAACTTCAATAGATAATTCCTTCCTTGGTACAAGGGCTAAGACAGCTATTGGATAAGTCGCCGTTTGCATTTCCAGTTCCAAAATAGAAATGATAGGACCTCTGAAGGTACTTTACTTATTAAATAAATAGTCCTTGGACGGCTCCTATGGGCCACATAGTTCACTAGGTGCTGACGATGCATCGGGGCCAAGAGTGGCTGTCCCTCCCTCATGGACACGGGGAGGTGTGGATCCCATAAGGATGGGCTGGGCAGCAGGCAGACCTCGCTGGAGTGTGCGCCCTGCTCTGTCCCCTAACTAATGATGTGACTCTCGTCTAGTTTCTTGACCTCTCTGAGTCTCAGTGACTTTGCTTGTTAAGTAAGCAAGGAGCCGACCAGCTCACGAGAGAAGGGGGAAGGTGTTGTTTCTCTGTCTGTGGTAGTCCCGTGAGCTGTGGTTCTTTGGGCTTCTGCTCACCTTCCTGGCCTTGGCGGGTGGGTCCTCTCCCCCTGTGGGGTCCTGTGAGCCCCCAGGGTTAGGAGAACTTGTGGGTGGAGCCCAGCCCTGCTATGGGTTCAGTTAAAAGCAGCCCTGCATAGAGAAGTGTATGTGTGGATGGCGAGTGGGTGGTGCGAGTGAAGCTGTAGGAAGGTCTGGGCTGGTCATCTGGAGGACGTCCTTGCAAGGCTCTGGCTGCTCCTGCTGGCGCTCTGAGAGGCAGAGACCTGGCCCAGTGCCTCCTCCCCAGATGAGGACACACTCCACGGCCCCCACTGTCCCAGTGAGATGCCCCACGTCTCGGAGACCAAGTGAAATCCGCTGTGAAATGCGTGGCACTGAAGCCTTGGGTCCCTTTGGCCTTCAGTCACATACACAGGGCAAACTTTTCACTGGGAGAGAAACAAAGAAGCCCGTGGGCGCCCCCTGGTGGGAAACTCTCTGCAGTGTCAGATGGTGCAGGGGAAATCTGGGCTTGGGGAGCCCCCAGGACTTTAAAGGGAGCTGGGTATGGGTCCTGGGACACACTGAACTGCCCCTCCAGTCCCCCTACACCTCAGGCCCCCAGGGCACATCTCTGAAGCCAAGCCAGGAAGGGGCTGGGGCTCCGGGCTGGGGAGGCAGCGAGCTAAGTGGCTCCCTCTGAGCCTGCCGTCTGGACCGGCCCTCTCCTCAGTGCTTAGGAGACCGAGGCCCAGGAGGAGGTTTGCTCCGAGAGAGAATGAAGTCCTGGCGTGTCTGGGTCCAGCCCACCGACCCTCACAGTAGCCCCTTCCCACTCCTTTCTTTATTGCCTTTATTCCTCCCTTTTGTCTCTCTTCAATCTCATCTCTGCTGCTCCCTTTTTTGCTCGCTCTCTCTCCCCCTCTCTCTCTCTCTCTCTCTCTCTCTCTCTCTCTCTCTCTCTCTCTGCCTCTGCCTTTCTCTTCATCTCTTGGTTTCTATTCCTGCTGCCTTTCCTACCCCTCTCCTGAGTGCTCCTTGCCTCCGTCCTGTCTCCCTCCCCCTTCCTCCTTACTTCCCTCCTCTCTCACCCTCCCATCCCCTCTTCTCCTTGCCCCCTTCTGATGCCCAGCACACACAAGCTGGAGGTCACAGTGCAGGTCAAAGGAGGGGACCCTTGGGCCCAGGTCTCCTCCCCTCAGACCAGGGCTGAGGGGCTCCTACCTTGGCATGGACTCAAGTGGTTAAAAACTCACCTGAAATTATGTGTAAAATATTATGTCAGGGCCTGCGTGTGTGTACCTGTGCATGTGTGTGTGTGTGTGGTGTGCACATGCATGTTCCGGGGAGAAACACCACAGCTTCTAGAAGGTTTTCAAAAAGACTCATGATCCAAAAACTAAGAAGAACCACTTCCTCTTTTAACCTGGACCTGTCCATGTGGGGGTCCACCCCTTAGGGAAGCCTGAGACCCCTCCCTCAGACTGCTGGGAGGGGCCAAGAAGGAGCCTCGAGGCTCCTCCGGAACCCAGGCTCAAAGGCCTGCAGGAAAAGGGACTGGGGGATGGGGCTTAGCTGAGCATCCCGCCCCCTGCTCTGAGGCTGGAACACAGAGTCCCAGGGACCCTGAGCCCAGGGCCAAGGCGCCCAGTGACCACATCACCTAATGGTGAGTTTTTCTAAAGGTACATTTTTCAGACACTCCTGCTGATCAGTCTTACAGCATTTTCACATACAGCAGGCCAGTTTCAGCCTATTCTTGTGGCATCCCCTTTTTCTGGTTGCCTACCTCTGAATAGTTTCAAGGAATTTTTTTGGCCCATTTATTTGATGCAGACTTTTTTTTTTTAAAAAAACAACCTTTTATAACAAAGTCATGCTAAATGGGAAAAGAGAACAGCAAAAAGAGATGTGTGTGTTTAAAAGAGATAAATGAGCTGAATGGCACATGAAGTACATAAATTTGGTAAATATTTATTAGAAGTGAGAACGGAAAGCAGATGAGCCTGTAGGCAGATGGGCTAGAAGAGTCTGGAAATGCTCCCCAGGAGGCAAAATAGCAGCTCCCACCCCTTTGTTAGTTTTCCCATCCTGGGCAGAGTGTTGTGAATCTGATGCTGGGAATTGCTGGCAAATGTGTCCATGGGCAGGTGGATTGAGGTTAGGTGAACCCGCGGCGAACAAACCCTGGAAAGGCCTCGATTAGGGGAAGCCCCAGGAAGCATCGGGATAAGCCCTGCGGCTGGGCCAAGGGGGATCCCCTCCAAGCGACCAGTGGTGACCCTGTCACGCAGGAGGAAAGGGCCTCAGGCTGGAGGAGGTGAGCGGCAGAGTGGTCTTGTTATGATGTTGGCACAGCCGGGCACTTTCCTTCAGGTGACCCGCACTCCCACACACTCAAGACACCCCGTGGTCCCCATGCTTGGAGAACCCTGCTCCAGGCGGGAGAATGGCAGGCAGGCCTGCAGACCCCCTTCCCTGGGGAGGCCCACTTTCCCTGTCAGTGACTTACCAGGTTCATTCTTTCATTTCATCTCATGAACTTCATTTCTTGAATGAGGAAACTCGGCTCAATGTAAACTCCATCAGGATGAGGACTGTATCTGCCTTGTATGTGTTCGTTTGCCAGCACCTAGCACAGCACCTGGCCCAGCATAAACAGCCCTGGAATGAAGGAGCAGAGAGAAGGCTGTGCCAGGGATGTGCTAACAGCCTGGCTCCGATCCCTGCTCTGCCACTTCCTGTTTGGGGGACCTGAGCTGGTTACCGAACCTCTCTGAACCTCGGATTTCTTCTACATAAAATGAAGATAGGGACACCTCCTCCCCATCCCTTGCTTTGCTCTGTTCCTGGCACATGTAAACACGTGATAAATGGGAAGCTAAGGGACTGGTGTTGATCCACGAGGGACCCTGCAGGCCGTGGGAAAGTCTTAAGCCCTGGAGGCTCTCCTGGGTTCCCGGATGACTTGGTGTTAAGAGGCCGTGTTCAGGAATCAGAAACCCACGTTTACCCCAGGTGTGCGGCCCAGTTTCCCCGTCAGTACAATGGGCTGTTGATGATAACAGCAGCGACCTCTCCAGGCTGCCAAGAGGGTTCAGTGAAATGACCGCATGCAATCCCCAGGGCCTAGGGAGTAAGCGCTCGGCAGGCGGTACCTGGTGTTGCCTTTCCGGAGATCACCGTGCCGGCACTCCCTTCAGGCAGGCCATGCTTCCTCCTCTCGGTGCAGAGCCACCAGCTGAGCAGCTCTCCAGCATGCGATTCCCAGGGCCTAGGGAGTAAGCGCTCGGCAGACGGTAGCTGGCGTTGCCTTTCTGGAGATCACCGTGCCGGCACCCGCCTTCAGGCAGGCCATGCTTTCTCCTCTCGGTGCAGAGCCACCAGCTGAGCAGCTCTCCCATCGCACCCGCCTTGTGCACGGGCTTCGCCTGCCCCGTCTCGCTGCAGCTGTGCAAAGTCATCCTGGTCAGCACACGCTCCCGGAGCCATGTGCTCGCGGAGTGCGAGGCTGGAGCTCGGTCTCATTCATAGTTTATAGCCGGCTAAGCCGCGACGATCAATCGATAGCGAGAGCCAGCTGAGTCACCGATGATGGAAGCCACTCTGAGGCCACACTTTGCCAGCCTGCGGACTGCCAGCAACTCCACCGAGAGGGCACGGGCAGGGAGGGGCTCCCCTGGAGGCCGCGGGAAACCACCGGATGACCATCCATCACCAGCGAAATGGAAGTGCCAGGAGCCCTGCCAGCGGCCTCCGTCACTGTCGGGGGAAGAGAGGCCACAGAAGCGGAGAACACATCACTTTGCTCAGCCCGAGGGCCAGCCAGTGCATAGGGGCGGGGCCGGGGTGCTGGAATGGACTGCAGGTGCTGTGGCCAGGGGCACAGGAGGCCCTCTGTCACAGGCCCCCAGCTCAGCCCAGGGTCACCCGCAGAGCTGACCCCAGCAAAGCTGACCCGTGGGAAGCAGACCCCCAGGGCTCAGCAGTGAGGTGAGGTAGCGTGGCACTGGAAATGAGCCAGGTTAAGATGAGGGATTTGCCCTGAAATGTTTGAGCTGCTCACCTCGGGAGCAGTCGTTCCCTTCCCTGGCTTGTTTTCTCCACTGGGGAAGAGGGGGGCTAACCAGGAAAGAGACAGGGACAGAGCCCGGGCTGGAGGCAGCTTAAACCTGGCGAGACTCCTGCCGCCAAAGACAGCAGTGTGGGAGGAGCTTTGTGCTGCTGGTCTGTTTGAGCCAGGGCTGCTTCTGGAGTGTGGACATTTAAAAGAGACCAAACCAAACTGTCTGACGGGTCAAGGGGATGTGTTCATGGCCACGTCCTCAGTAAGTCATTTTGCCATCCATCCCAGTGGCTCCCCAGAAGTGGTGTGAAGCCCAAGCAATTTAGAGGAGCCTCAGGACCTTCATGGGGCAGCCTGTCCAAGCTGAAAAGCCAGGGAGGGGACGTGACGGGTCTTCCCGGAATGAGGATACGGTGGCAGAAAGCTGCTTCTGTCTAAAGGAACACAATTCAGGAGAAAGACACTGAGGGCATCCCAGTGGCCCATGCAAGTGTCGGAGGAAAGAAGTGCTGAGCGTCCCTGGAGCTGGGTGCCCCTGGAGCTGGGTGCCCCTGGAGCTGGGTGCCCCCGGGGCTGGGTGCCCCCGGAGCTGGGTGCCCCTGGAGCTGGGCGCTGGGGCTTGTGGAGCAGCTTCCCTCCGCTCTTGTGAGAGCCTGGGCGACAAGCTTGGCTCCGCCTCTCTTATGACATAACAACACTTCATGTCCCTCACTTCGTTGTTCCCAGGTGAGCCCTAAAGTGGGTGTCACACCCTCATTGCACTGACAAGGAAGCTGAGGCTGGAAGATGGTTTGAGTGATTGTCCCAAGTCACACAAAGCACGGCAGGGTGGGCAGAGGCGTCCGGACACTAAGCCCAGGACCCTTTGCGTCCTTCCAGCCTGGGCACATCCAATGTGGCCTGGCAGCTCGGGGACCCTGACCCACGGGAGCAGGTCTCGGGGCAGCTGGCTGTGCACCGGGGACTCAGTCCTCTGCCGGGGCCGGGGGTGCTGGAATGGACTGCAGGTGCTGTGGCCAGGGGCACAGGAGGCCCTCTGTCACAGGCCCCCAGCTCAGCCCAGGGTCACCCGCAGAGCTGACCCCAGCAAGGCTGACCCGTGGGGAGCAGACCCCCAGAGCTCAGCAGCGAGGCGAGGTAGCGTGGCACTGGAAACGAGCCAGGTTAAGATGAGGGATTTACTCTGAAATGTTTGAGCTGCTCACCTCGGGAGCAGTCATTCCCTTCCCTGGCTTGTTTTCTCCACTGGGGAAGTGAGGGGCTAACCAGGAAAGAGAAGGGATAGAGCCGGGGCTGAAGGCAGCTTAAAACTGGTGAGACTCCTGCCGCCAAAGAGAGCAGTGTGGGAGGAGCTTTGTGCTGCTGGTCTGTTTGAGCCAGGGCTGCTTCTGGAGTGTGGACATTTAAAAGAGACCAAACCAAACTGTCTGACGGGTCAAGGGGATGTGTTCATGGCCACGTCCTCAGTAAGTCATTTTGCCATCCATCCCAGTGGCTCCCCAGAAGTGGTGTGAAGCCCAAGCAATTTAGAGGAGCCTCAGGACCTTCATGGGGCAGCCTGTCCAAGCTGAAAAGCCAGGGAGGGGACGTGACGGGTCTTCCCGGAATGAGGATACGGTGGCAGAAAGCTGCTTCTGTCTAAAGGAACACGATCCAGGAGAGAGACACTGAGGGTGTCCCAGTGGCCCATGCGAGTGTCGGAGGAAAGAAGTGCTGAGCGTCCCCGGAGCTGGGTGCCCCTGGAGCTGGGCACCCCTGGAGCTGGGCGCTGGGGCTTGTGGGGCAGCTTCCCTCTGCTCTTGTGAGAGCCTGGGCGACAAGCTTGGCTCCGCCTCTCATAACAACACTTCACGTCCATCACTTCGTTGTTCCCAGGTGAGCCCTAAAGTGGGTGTCACACCCTCATTTCACTGACAAGGAAGCTGAGGCTGGAAGATGGTTTGAGTGATTGTCCCAAGTCACACAAAGCACGGCAGGGCGGGCAGAGGCGTCCGGACACTAAGCCCAGGACCCTTTGCGTCCTTCCAGCCTGGGCACATCCAATGTGGCCTGGCAGCTCGGGGACCCTGACCCACGGGAGCAGGTCTCAGGGCAGCTGGCTGTGCACCGGGGACTCAGTCCTCTGCTGGTGGCCGCAGGTGGGGTGACAACTCTGGGATGGTCACAGACCACGTATGCCAACGGCACCAGTGCTAGGTGATGAAGGCCCACCGTGTCCTTTCTTCTGCTAACAGCTCTCAGCCCAAAACACTGCCCAGGATGGCCAGGGCCTGAGAGGTGGTGGACAGCAAGGTCATGATGGCGAGCCGGTCACTCCTGGCTTCATTCCTTCATCTGATAGCCACGAACCGGTGTCTGTGCTGTCCGGGCCTGGGGAGAGCGTGCTGAGCTACAGCCTCTGTGCTTAATTGGGGGCCCAGTGGGGACACAACGGCTGCCATGGGGACATCTCTGTGGGGCACTGTGATGGGGTGGGGGGAGCCGCAGGAGAGCGCCTGGGCTGGAAAACGAGGAGCTGGTGACTGAGGGAGGACGTGCCTTCCTGGCAGAGGGGACCCCGAGACAGAGGCCTGCTGGTTGACTTGGGGAGCATCAGGGAATACAGTGAGTGGAGTGGGTTCTGTTAGTTTTCAAACTCCTGGCTCGTGGGAATGAGGCTGGGGCTGGGGGTGGGGACGCCAGGGTTCCCTGAGCCTGGGACTCAGCTTCCGCTTCCTGCCAGGGCTGCCAGGCAGGTTGTCCAGACTGACCCCTGGGCAGGGGCCTCGGCTCGGGGGGCCGTGTGCACGGAAGGCTTGTCTGTCTGTGTACTTTTTCCATATTTGCATTACAGCCTTGTTGACTCCAAAGGGCGGTGTGTTTATTATGAAAAATGTCTGCTTAATGGCAGTGAAGTTCCTTGTTTTACGGAATCGGTGCATTGCGCCAGCTGTGGAGTAGGTGGAAGGGGGCTTCGGTGGGTGGGGTCCCCGGGCCGCCCACCCTCAGGGTTCACGAGCCTCCCCTTCTCCTTGCAGTTCTTCTTGTTCATCCTGATCATCTTCCTGGCGGAGCTCTCGGCGGCCATCCTGGCCTTTATCTTCAGGGAAAATGTACGTACCGGGCCCCACGCCCTGGCCCCCTGCCACCAGCCAGGGGTCGGAGGCCATCACGGCCAGCCCGTCCCGTCCCAAGGGCCACACAGAGACATCAGCCTCTCACCCAGCACTTTCAGCCCAAATGGTGACCCCGCCAGCCTCTTCCTTACGAGGGCTAACCTTCCAGAAGGTTAGCGTCAGGGGCCCTTAAGGGTCTCGCTCTTCCGAAAACATCTAGTGCAATCACACACCTGATTCTGGAATCTTCCATCCACACCTTGCCAGGTGATGACACAGCAGTAGTCATGTGACCACGTGGGGACAGTCAGGGAGGCTGTCCCCTGAGCCTGGGAATGTGTGATGCACAGAAGGGGCCGAGCACCATCAGCTGAGGCCCTGGCCAGTCCCCAGTTTGGGCCACCTGCCCCACAGGCCATCTTATTCCAGGGGCTCCAGCACCCGGGCACCAGCTCCCTCCTGAGTCCACAAGAGCCAGGCCCCAACCACAGGTGGCCTGGAAGCAAAGAGAAGAGGGGAGGAGAGGAGGGGAGGGAAGGGGGCAGGAGACCCGAGCTGGCCCTGGGTGGTGAGCAGGTGAGCTGTCCCCAGAACAGTGCCCAGCAGGCCTCCCTCTCGGTTAGACCTCTGGAGAGTATTCTGAGGGAAGGAGCGACTTCCAAGGACATCTCTGGAAGCTAGATGTGCAAAGGCTCCCTGCTCCACACTGTGGTTTCTTCAGGGCCTGGGCCCCGGGCATCCGCTTAGCTCTGAGGAACAGCTCAGGGTGGAGGGTGGGTGAGGCAAGCCCCCTCTGAGACGAGCTGCAGGGCAGAGTGAGGTCCCTGGGTGCCCTGGCCTCGGGGTCGCCGAGGGATGTGTGTAGACTTTTCATGTGAGTGATCCCATGATGGCTGGAGGCCACGGGCCTTGAGGTGGGGGTTAAGGGACTTGTCCCAAGCTTAGGAGAATGCCAGGAGCCTGGCACCAGGGCCCTGGCTTCCCTCCCTTCCCCCAAAGCTGACAGATGGAGAGGCCGGGAGGGGTGGGGCAGCACCAAGCTGCCAGGTGGGGTCTCAGCCCACCCTCTCCCTCTGCCTCCAGCTCACCCGGGAATTCTTCACCAAGGAGCTCACCAAGCATTATCAGGGCAACAACGACACAGACGTCTTCTCTGCCACCTGGAACTCGGTCATGATCACAGTGAGTGACCCCCCTACACACCCAGGGGCGCTATGAGCTTTCAGAGCCGCAGGGCCCAGTGTTGCAAATGTCTGGCCACCAGAGATCCCATTGCTCGTGCCAATGATCAACAAGGGCACGGCCTCGCCAACCCGCCAAGGCCCACCTCGGAGTTGGTCCACACGGCATTCCCAGCAACCACTCCCTCGATCACAGTCCACACTCTGAGTGAGACCTGTTTGCCATCTCTGACTGGAATCCCCAAGCAGCTGTCATTGTCATCAATGATAGTAATCACAGCGACTGTTTATTGAGCGCTGACTAGGCGCCTGGTGAGGTGGGGGTTGTTACCACCCCCATTTACAGATGGGGACACTGGAGGCTCAGAGAGGCTGAGGGACGTTCCCAGGTCCCCCAGGCGGAGCAGGTGGAGCCAGCCGTTTCCTCACTAGCCTTTGGAGAGGCTGTCTGTCCCCTCGGCCCTGCAGGCCCGCTCCCTCCCACAGACCCTTCCTGTGCTCTCCTCCTAGTTTGGTTGCTGCGGGGTCAACGGGCCTGAAGACTTCAAGTTGGCATCCATTTTCCGACTCCTGACGTTGGACAGCGACGAGGTACCGGAGGCCTGCTGCCGGAGAGAACCGCAGACCCGGGACGGGGTCCTGCTGAGCAGGGAGGACTGCCTCCTGGGAAGGGACTTGTTCCTGAACAAGCAGGTACAGGCCCTACTCCCCAGGCAGGGGGCGTGGGTGGCCAGAGCTGGCAGGTGGCGGTCGTCCCAGAGGCTCTGAAGGCACTCCAGGATCCCATGGACTGTTGACGAGATTTGGGACTGAATGGAGGCTAAGGAAGCTCCATCCAGGCTCCTGGCATCCAAGCAAAGGGGTAAAGGATGAAGGCGGCCGATGGCTCAGTGATGGCACAGGCCTGAGGAATGGGCATTTTGGCTGGGGTTGAAGGGTGAGTAGGAGTGTTCCAGGGTTCCAGGCAGAACACTCCTTGAGCTTCTTATAATGTAGGTTGGGAGCCAGAACTAGAATCACACAGTGGGGGCCCCTCCTTGGCCATGTGCTCTGTTTTGGGGGAAGCTCACATTGGCCACGTGGGGGTACCTCCTGGCTCCAAGGGAGCAAGATCAGGGAAGCTCCTAGACTTCTTGCAACCCTAGAACTTCATTTCAGTTTCAGAAGAATCCCTTCCCCTTCCTGTGACACAAGGTTCCCCAATGACCAGCCCCTGACCCCTCAGTGTGTATGTGAGACCAGAGAGACAGGACAGAATGAGGGTGGACTCATGCCTCTTATTGGATTAGCCCTTTAATGCAAATTTCATGGGAGAGTTCCAGATGCACGGGACCCCCAGGGGACGGGAGACAGGCCCCTGCTCCTGTGGGGCTCATGGCTTAGTTAGAGGATGCAGATGATAAACAAGAAGCAAATAAGCCAAAAGTGGTCATTTCACGAGGCAACAATGACTAAAAAGGAAGTAAAACCAGATGATGGCTAGAAGGGACCAGAGAGAGGGCTCAAGGCAGGCCTCTTAGAGTCCCAGGGGAGGGGACAGTTGAGCTGAGGCCTGACTCTGGCCATCTGGTGAGTCTCTTTCCAGCTTCAGCCTCATCTCCCCAGCTCAGCACCATCATCCCCTGCGCCTGCCCATGTCATGTCAAAGGGTACACAAGGCCCCAAAAGCAAGTTCCTCTGCCCCCCACAGTCCTGCCCTCCTGCACTGAGGGAGAGAGATAGCAAGAAAGAGACGAGGGCCCTGGGATCAGGTCGCTGCTGAACTGGGGAGGACGGGCCACCCAGGGGTTGGGTCTCTGCCGTGAGGACAGACTGCAGGACATGGGGGCAGTTTCAGGCTGTGCTGTCAGCTGGCCCGGGCTGTTGGTCCCTATGTCACCTTGGCCAGGACACACTCTCTGGACCTCAGGTCCCCTATACAGTGGCAGAGACAGCTAGCTGCCCCCACATTCCATTCACCCCTTCCTCTTTGGAAAGGGGGGCTTTATAAGACCCCATGACCACCAGGTAAAGGCTGCCCTTCCCAGCCTCCCTTGCAGCTAGGCCATGTGACCAACTTCTAGCCAAAGGGAGGTAAGCAGATGCGATTTGGGAACTGGATAACATCCTTAAGGAAAAGCACTGTGCCTGCCTCCCCCCGCCCCGCCCCATGCCCCCTGGCTGGAATGCAGCTGTGGTGACAGACATCTCTGACTTGATGTCTGGATGTCAGAGTATCAAGGGAGAAGGAGCCTGGGCTGCTGACAACTCCATGGAAAGCCGCCACCACTCAGGATTTAATAAGAAAGACAAACAAACGTCTAAGTCAGGAATGTCTGGTGCGCGTGGCCAAACCTCTAATCTGAGGCCACTTGTGAGCTGTTCTGGGAGGCCTTTCATGGGCCCTGGTCCTTGAGGGCTTCATCCTGACATGCTTCCCATTTCTGATTCACACTCTGATGATGCCTCCGTCCCTCTCCTGGGCATGGCTTTGATGTCGGAGGCTCAACAGAGGGCCCCGAGCGGCTATCTTAGTTCTTCAGACGCCTCTTCCTCTCGTCCTGAGTGACTGGGATTGACTCCTGGGACTCCTTCTCCGGGACACTCAGTCCCTCCTGAGCCTCCTCCCCTTTGAAAAGCCTCTGCCAAGGGACTGTCTGTTTGTTTTTCCTCCAGAACCCACTTCCCTAAGGCCCAGGGTGCATTTCTGACTTGGCCTGATGTCCCATCGTAGGCAGCAGCAGCATGTTCTATTGCAAGTAATGAAATCCCAACTGAAGGGGCTAAGCAAATCCCTTTGTGTTTCACACGTGGAAACAATTCTAGGAGACGGTGGCTTCTCACGTTGTACCAGTGGCTCTGCCATGTCAGCCAAGGCCTGGTCTCTGGTTTCTGTGGCCTTTTCTTGTGTTCACCATGATGGCAAAGTGGCTGCCGTGGCTCCAGACATCCACCCACGCTCAAGGCGGGAGAAGGGGAAAGGGTGGCGCCAGCTTCCTTCCCGGAAACCTCCAGGCGACTTCTGCTTAGGACTTGGTCACATGGCCACCCGGAGCCAAGGCAGAGGGCACGTGCCTATGGGTGTTGAGTTAGTCCACCAGCCCTGTTCACCGTTGAATTCCAATGAAGAGAAATCAGAAAATCTCAAAAAATGTAACCCAGGTTGAATACTTGGACCGCCCACGGATATGATTCGAATCCCTGTGACAGCTTCTCCAGCTCATTCCTCAGCCGTCCCTGGGTCAAGACAGTCACCCAAGAGTCAGGAGTGAGTTCTGCTGGAAACAACTCAGAGGGTCTCCCAGTAGATGGTGACCTTGCTAGACCTTTGTTCCGGGCCAGTGTGGTGACCACCGAAAGGAAACCATCCATATTCCCCATTTGTCCAGGTGACCGTAGGTCTTCTCTCCCCTCAGCATCGCTGTTTCCCTGCCTTATCCCCACTGTCCCCATCTGCTTTGTGGTGGGTTGTGAGTGTGGGCGCTCTGTGACCTTGAAACAAAGTGCTACCCCTTATCCTTCTGGAAAGGGAAAAGCAATGCAGCCAGAGAGCAAGAGCAGCAGCACGTGCAGAGGCCCTGGGGTGGCAGGGAGCATAGTGTGTTCCTGGACCCAAGAGAAGGCCTGTAGGGCTGGAGCACGGTGAATAGGGCAAGGCTAGCTCAAGGTGAGGGCCTCAGGAGGGCCACACGATGCAGGGCCAGCAGGTTCATGCTGAGGATGCTGGAAGAGCAATGGAAACCCACACCCAGTTCTCCCTGGCGAATGGGGGCCATGAGGGCGTTCCGGCTGCTCAGTATCAGGGGCCTCTATTGGCTGGCCCAGTTGGTTCAGTCCAGGGACCCAAAAGGCCTTGGTGCCGAGCCAGATGGAGGGGAGATGAGCAGTGAAGGCCCCAGGTGCACTGCCCACAGCAGAGGGGGGCAGGATGTCTTCTCTCTGCTGGACAAGGTCCCCTGGGTGAGCTGTGTCAAAGTCAGCTTCATGCACAGGAAGGACTTACTGCTTCTGTCCCCTCGGGGGGGCGGGTGGGGGGGGTAGAGAGACGGCGGGGAGGATTGTCTTGCAATGACACCCAGAGACGCAAGGGGTAACCTCCCCCAACTCTGCGCTCAGACCCTTTCCACCAGCCGGGATGTGCTTAGAGGGGCGCAGAGGGAGGGAGGGCAGCCTTCAGGGATGGAAGCCTTGCTCCATGCCAACAGCACTGCCTGAGCTTTGGGGCCACATGCCAGTTTCCCGGCTTCACAGCCCTGGTCCCTGACCCCTGACCCCCGACCCCTGACTATCCCTCGGGCTGTGGGTTCACCTCTGGTCCTTTCCCCCAGGGCTGTTACACAGTGATCCTCAACGCCTTCGAAACCTACGTCTACCTGGCCGGAGCCCTCGCCATAGGGGTGCTGGCCATCGAGGTAAGTGAAGGCCCACTTCCGTGGCTCCTCCCCAGAAGCAAGGCACACTCGGGGTTTGGGGCAGACCCACCATGGGTTAGCCCCTTCCCCTCAGGCTGGGCGGCCCCGTGGGAGGCTGGGGGCCCAGCCTAACTAGCCAACTCCTACTTTCTGTGCAGCTTTTCGCCATGATCTTCGCCATGTGCCTCTTCCGGGGCATCCAGTAGAGGCGTGGCCTGAAGCCTGAGGAGTCACCCTGCCCACCACTGCCCAGTACTCAATGCCCTTCTCCCCCCCGGCACCTCTGCTCCTGGGTCCAGGGGTAGGAGGTGAGGCCATCATGAGTGGCCAGGAGAAGGGCCAGGGGAAAATAGCTATTTTTTTAACAAAACAAAATGACAAAAATATGGACTGATGTGCCCCGCCTGGATTCGGGGTGGGGCCGTGGGCTCTGCACCCAGGCTGCCGTCTGCACTAGAGACCAAAGGAACACCCGTGCCCGGCCCCCTCCTCGGCCCCATCGGACTCCCGCAGCCCTGGGCCCGGGCCCTCTCCTCACAGCCCCGGGACCTGGTGCCAAGAAAGTGAGGATTTAGGCAACAAGGAGGCAGAAGCAAATCTGGGGGAGAGGTGGGCAGAGCCCAGGGGCCCACGGACACTGGGTCACCACGTCCTTGAGAACCTGGCACCTCCTCGCAGCCCCTCGTCCGGTCGATGGAGTTGTCCCTGCTCCTGCTCCGGCCAACAGTGGGCTGCGGACACTGGACCCGAGAATGGCCCAGCTGGCGGGGTCCGCGCTCTCCCCAGCTGTTGGACCGAATATCTGGGAGGCCCAGAGTGTCACCCACAGTCACACCACACAGGCATGACATTCTGAACAAGAACTGGGTGGTCTCCGGGGCTGTCGGTCCAGCAGAGCTGCTCACGCCCTCCCGGGCCTCGGCATCATGGTTTCCCCAGAAGAGACAGGGCAGCTGGCCAGGAACTGCCTCTTCCCAGTTCCACTGCTAAGATGATTCTAGACTCTCCCTGCCCCCTCCCCACCCACGCCGTTTGCCTTCCCAACTCCCCACCTTCTAAGCCCCCAGGAAAACACACACACACACACACACACACACACACACACACACACACGTACACCCCCCCACACACACACTTACACACGCCAGAGTCCCTTTTCCACGCTGCCTGTCTCTGCTCACAAGCCCATCACTTCCCTGTTCTCCACCAACTCCCTGGCTCCCAGCGCTGGAAGGAGCCCCCAAGATCACCCGGTTCTTCTCTCCCCACCCAGAACTGTAGCTTGGATATCTTCTGCAAGCTCCCTGCCAAGACATCTCCACCCTCTTCTTGCACACCTCCAGGGACCTCACTACCTCCCAGGACAGCATTCTGCCTTTCGACTGCTGACTTCAGACTTCCATTTTTCTGTGGTTCTGCCCAAGGCTCGCTCTCCTTCCCTGAGTGTTAAGGCCACACACTGTCTCCCCCTGCGCCCCGTTATCACCAGGCTAAAGAATTCCAAGGCATCTCATCATTTCTGTTGTGACATCGTTTCCTGCCCCCTCACCATCCACAGCACATTTCTGAGTGCTCCCTCCAGGCTCAAGCAAGAAGAGGTCTTCCCACAGACTCACTGACACTCACACAGCTCCCACAGATCAGCCCCTCAGAACACAGACCTCAGGTTCTAGACCAGTGCTGGCAACTGGATTACAAGATGCCTCAGCCCTGCTGAGTCAGGAGTGGCTGGTGGAGGCTGTGCAGAGGATCTGAGGTTTGGCCTGGGCTTGGTGGGAGAGGGCAGTATAATCCCGATTATATAATCCCGATTGGTGATGTCGGCCCCAGGCATGGGAATGGGAAGGGTAGCATGATGCCTGCCTTCCCCTCCTCTCCACTGTCCCTTCGGGGTCTGGGACAAGCCCTGTCTGTCTCCCAGGCCCTGAGCCAGCTTCCAGCCTCCCCCGCTTCCCAGCGACTGGGGGAGAGAGCTGCAGCCAGGCGCCCAGTGCTCCCCTGCCCTGCCCCCTGCCCCCTTCTGAGCTACACCAGAGCTCTGTGCCTGCTGTAGCGATTTGGTTAGACCTTCCTCCCAACTCTCCCTTCCCCCTCCCACCCGTCCTCTCCACCTGGGTCTTTCCCTCCTGTACCAGCCTGCCCTGGCAACACCATGATGCCACGAGCTCCCTAGCAACTGGGCATCCCAGGATCCAGGGGCCCCACAGCTGGTACCCCAGCCCAGCCTGACAAGGGTCTGGGGCCTGCCCCTCCAGATCCACCTACCACTCATACACAGCTTCCTGGAAAAGGCAAGTGTCTGGTCTGAGGTTGACAAAAAAAAAAAAGAGAGAAACTCCAGGCTGGCTAGGCAGCACTGGAGGTCGGTCTGAGGTTGACAAAAAAAAAGAGAGAGAGAGAAACTCCAGGCTGGCTAGGCAGCACTGGAGGTCAAATCGGGCAGCTGTGGCTCCAGTGCAGGGCGGCCCAGGGGAATCTGGGGCCTCGAAGGTAAGAAGTGCCCATACACGTGTGAGAGGCAGGTCACGGAGGACCATTGGCTGAGGCAGGGGGGGTGAGACCCCGCCAAGGACTTTCCAGAACGGTGCCAAGGAACCCGAATCTGACCCTGCTGACCTCCCCAGGCACCGGCCACCCAGGCTGGAAGGGAACCCGGGATCTGCTCAGGCTGGTAGGTGTTTGCAAGGCTGCCTGTGGCTGTCGGAGGGCAGGGGCTTGGGGCTTGGAAGAAAGCAAGCTCTGCCCCAATATGAGGAGCCTCCTGGGCTCCGGCTGTGGTGGTTACAGTTACAGTATAACCCATACGTAACAGGTGCTGGTGGCAGCTGCCGGCTGCGGGGGTGGGGGCGGGGGGTGCAGCAGGTAGGAGTGCCTCTGCAGGTCAGGGAAGACCTTACACGGGAGCCCAGCACCCTCCCTGCTCCCAAACTACTGCCTCGGGGAGAAGGGACACAGCTTGGGAGCTGGGGCCCAACCTCAGCCTCCCTCACCCCTCTCCTGTCCATGCCTGAGGGGCCCGACGGGACACCCCCAAGTGAGCTGAGGCCCCAGCACCCATGTCTGCAGAAGCCCCCCTCCCCTCCCTCGTGGGCCCCGTCGAAAGTCTATTTTGAAAATGGTAAATGTTCCTCGCAGTAGATAGCAGAGCTAATTTATCATGTTTATTCCCGGGACCCCCCTTTTATATTATATATCAAGAGTTTTGTAATATAAAACAACACCCACACTGATGGTTTTGCACTGGTTTTTGTGACCGTTTCTTACAAAAAGAAAAAGGAACGAAGAATAAATAGTGACCGTGAAGAAAGGTGGTCTTGATTTGGGGGTGGGGTGGGGTGGGGCAAAGGGGACCTGGGGGGACTGGGCAGGGGCATTCTGGGTCTCCCCAAATCTTCAGGAGGGAGTTGGGCCTTCCTCACTAGACTTGTGGGTTCCCTTGTCTCCTCCCCAAGGACTCCCCCCCACTCTCGCCCTGCGCCGCCCCGCCCCCCAAGGCCCTGTCTGCCTGCCAGAGCCCCTCCCTCCAGGCCTCACTGGATGTTCAAGCAGCAGGAAGTGCATGGACACTGCCCCCCGGTGGGCCCTCACCACACCCCGGGCCCTACACCCCGCACCCCAGCTGAGAGTGAAGTAGGTTGGCCAGCTCAGCCCTAGCAGATGCCGAACACAGAGCCCGACTCCAGAGCCCATGCCTCCACTTCCCTGCCTGCCTCCGGAGGGGTCTACCAGCCGGGCCCAGCGGTTATTCGGACAAACCACCACCTGCCGGAGAACTAGCCGGGCCTTCAAAGGCGTGGCCCAGATGGAGGGCATGGCCTTGGTCTGGGGCACTGCCCACCAGTCACCAACAGCACCTCCCAAAGTGGGCAGTGGGCAGCCTGCCTAGGGCTCTCCCTGGGGACAGGCACGCACTTCAGTGGCAGGAGATGGACTCCAGGAAAGAGCTGGCCCTTCCTTAGGCCTGCCGTCCCTTCGGCTCGGCCATGGTCACCAGCAGCGTAGCCTTAGGCCCCTGACCCACCAGGCCTCTCTCCTCAGCTGTGCTGGACACTAGGTATGTGGCTGCAGGGACAGCTGGGCACAGGGACAGGAGTGTGCGGCCCAGTGTGGGCAGGTTCCCAGACACGGGCCCGCCCGGCAGTAGACAGAGCTGGGCTGCACTAAAGACCACTCATCTCGCCCCCAAACACTCTCTGTTCCAAGACAGAAAGCGAGACTGGGCCTGGGCTACTGCTCTCCACACCCGTCCCCAGAACACAGGACTGGAGAGGACAGTGCTGGGAGGGAGGAGGGAGTACTGGGGGACACACAGGCCGGGGGACGGGGGGTCTGCAGGGCTGTTCATCTCTGAGGGAGCCAGGTGTCCGCCTTCTCCAGGGCATCTGCCGGGCAGGGGGGCTGGGGGCGTGGAGGGACATGAGAGGAGGTGTCCCGCTGAAATATTTCTATATTTTTCTCCAGCTGAGCTCGAAGGGCACCCAGTCCTATCCTGCTAGACCCTGGGGGCAGCCCAGGCTGGAGGTCCAGAGGGCAGCACCCTGGGGAGGGGGGGAGGGGAGGGGAGGGGCTAAGACGGGTGAGCATCAGACCCTGGAGAACATGCCAAGTTCAAGGCTTTTCTTCTCATCTCCAAGCCCCATCACTTACAGGGGGATCTGTGTGTCCATGTGGGTGAGGCCTCTGGAAGCCTCTGGACCCAGGCAGGTTGGGCGAGGGGGGATCCTAGGAGCCTCCAGGAGCTGGGGTGGAGGCAGAGCAGCCTGGATCGAGGCCCCAGAGAGCCTGTGGTGGCCGGGACAGGGCTCTGCTGCTGTGGCCTTCCTGTGAGGTGGGCAAATGACAGCTCAAAGACAGCCACCCCCACCTGTCGGCCTGCGGCTGGGCTGTGAGATTAGGTGCCTGTGTTTAGGGTTGGAGAGGGGCCCCCACATGTGGGAGGGCCCACAAGGAGTAGGGGCACAAGGTCAAGTTCTTGGGTTTTCCAGCTGCCTGGGCACTCGATTGGCTGGGGGTGAAGGGGGAGGACAAGGAGGCAGCCCACAGCCTCTCTCAAAAGAAAGAAGGGCCTCCAGGCAGAGGGGCAGGGCCTCTCCTCAGCCCGATACCCCGTGATGCAGGCTCTTCAGTCCGTGTCTGTCCAGGGGATCCGAGACCAAGAGGCTCAAGAAAAGAGGCGTCATTGTGTGGGGCAAAGAACAGGGGTGCGGAGGCCCTGTCCCTCCTCAAACTTGAAAGCCCTGATCACAGCATTCGGGGAGAGCCCGGGAGGAAGGAAGGGGGCCGCTCCTGTCTGCCTGGGGCAGGGAAGGGTCCTTCCTGCCTTCCACGAACCAAAGGGAAACTGAGGCCCAGGGCCTCCTTGCCCGAGAAGGGCCCCAGCCCAGTGGTCAGCTAGACTTTCTTGGGTTTTCGGCCGACTTGGTAATAGTAGTAAACGCTGATGGCGACAAAAAGGAGGCGGCTGGCCAGGAGCAGCAGAATCCCCAGGGACATGAGGCCGGTCTCGGCTAGCGTGGCAGTGACCACTGTGGGAGAAAGGCCGGGAAGGAACAGAGGTCAGAGGGCTGTGCCCTCACCCCGCCACAGGACGGCAGGCTGATCCCTGAGCTGGGGGTCCTGCCAGCTGTCTGACCCCACAGACACGTCTGTTCCGATGTCCCCCATGCGGCAGTGGCAGGAACTGAGGTGTGCATGCGGGCAAAGCCAGTGTGTGCTATCACCCCAGTGCCGGGGTGCGGGAGGCTGTGGAGACGCCCGAGTGTGTATTCAGAAGACACAGGTAGGTGTCTGTTGCGTGAGCACAGGTGTGCAGGCACACAGGTAAACACAGCTGCAGGGGGCCTCCTCCTTAGCCAGGTTTCCATCACTTCCTAGAAACCTAAGTGGCAAGAGCTGGGAGGTGGGGGCAAAGCTGCCCTGCCCACCCTGCCGTCAGCCAGCCTCCCCTCCCTGCCCACCTCAGGACTCACCCAAGAACTGGACCCCGAAGTAGCAGGCTTCGGTGAGCAGAGTCCAGCGAATGATAACCTTCTCGGCCGTGTAGAGAGCGTTCCACATGATCAGAGAGATACCTGGGAAGGGGTAAAGAGGGGTTGGGGGCAGGCCAGCCTGACCCACCCACCCATTTAGGGCAGGGGCAAGGGGCCTGTTCCTGTCCCTTTGGCCCTACATAGCAAGGGAGCCCGGATCCTGTACATCCACATCTCCTGCCCTCACGCATTTCCTCAAATTAAAACTCATCACACCATGGGACACGGGGCAAGTCACATCTCACAGGGACTCAGTCTTTTCATCTGTAAAATGGGAGACCTGAGCTCTAGGTACCCTGCCCCTATCAGGTTCTGTTATGATTCTGGGTTGATGGGCTGCCTGGTCCTACAGTCACATTTTCTTTTCAAATGGACTGCTGGAGACAGAAAACCTGAGCCCATGAAGGTCTCTCTCTAAGGAATTCCCAGGGCTGGGGGTGGGGGTGGGGGTAGGCAGACCATATTCCCAGGAAGAACCACCTACTCAGCCTCTACCAGGCCAAGCTTACAGTGTTTATTTTGCCTGCTCCCCTAGGCTGTGAGGCTGGAGGGCAGGGCCCTGGCCTCATTCATCTCTGCACCCCAGTGCCCAGGTGGTGCACTACCAGCAAGCGCTCAGTAAGCGCTTCTCCAGAAGATGGCAGAGCCCCAATCCACTGGGTGCGTTTTCTATCAGTGGCCACAAGATGGCAGCATACACCCAGCAGAGACACAGCAGCTGAAGGGGGGCTCTGGGAAGGGAAGCCTCTGCACAGAGGAAGACTCCCCACGTTTCCCTCCATCCCAGTTGGGACCCCAGCTTCCCATCACCTTCCCCAGAGTCCTCCCCAGCAATACTCACTGAGGAGCGCACCCCCATAGAGGCGGATGGGGGTCTTGCTGGTCACCTGAGCTCCATCAAAGACGGCGTCATAGAGCTGGTCAGGGAAGGCCAGGGCCTGGGGACAGCAGTTGGGAGGCTCAGGGGGAGGGGGACATTGTGAAAACTCCCTGGACATCTTCCCCCAGGAAGTGGGCCAGGGTCCCTGGGACAGTCTGGGGCCAGGACCTTAACTGCCCCCCACCCCTTCATGCCAGGACAGAAGGCCCTGGGGTTGCCAGGGGCAAGGGGTTGCCAGGAACAAGGTGTTGGGACCATGGCCACGGATCCAGGATGCTGCGGGGCAGGCAGGCACAGGTGGGATGTGTCAGGAGCCAGGAAGGGCAGGCAGGCAGGCACAGGTGGGATGTGTCAGGAGCCAGGACATGGAGGCAGCCAGCGAGCCTTGACAGATGTGGCCTCACGAAGGCCATGGGGTGAGAAGCAGCAGGGGCCCCAGGGCAGGGAGGAGTCCCTCGCAGAGGCCCAGGTTTCCAGGGTGGGGCGGGGGCTCACCATGACGGCAATGCCAGAGAAGAGCACAGCAGAAACAAACTGCCAGACCCTGGGGAGGAACCAATAGGAAGGTCACAGCCAAGCCCCTGGCCACCACCCCAGGCCCCAAGGGATGCCCCTCTCCAGCCAAGGTGCCCAGGGATGGCTGGTTTGGGGGCAGGGAATGAGCTGGGATGAAATCCAGAGCAAGACCAGAGGGGCAAGGCTGATGAGACGGGGTCTTACACAGCTCCTCCCTATAACACACACGAATGCTCACCTCAGTCCCAAAGGCTCCCGAACAGCAAACTTGATTTCATTGCCCAAGACCTGGCTGATCTGTGAACACAGAGGGGAGGGGTCAGAGGCAACCAGGGGGAAGGCATGCCAAGGCTACTTAACCCCCCAGGCCCCCTCCCTCCAGCCTGCTCAGGGGCCCACCTGGTACCTATGCTTAGCAAATGGCCACCCAGGCTGGAAGGTCCCACTGAGGCCACCCCCTCACTGCCTCCCTGACACCAGAGATTAAGGGAAGCTGAAAAGACAGTGGCTGAGAATGAACGCTCGGGCGTCTGCCAGACGTGGGCCTGAAGCCCGGTTCCTCTGCCACTTCCTGGTGCGGCCTTGGACAGATCACTAACCTCTCTGAGCCTCAGTTTCCTCATCTATACAATGGGCTGATGCCGGTGTCTGCATCTTCCAGGACTAGCAAGATGAAATAATGCTTCTAAAACAGCGGTATACTAACAGGCATATAATAAGCACTCAAACCTAATTATCAGTTTTGTTATTATTCCCCTGACATCTCCATTAAGTCTCTAGAAAAACGAGCTAAGTCTCAGGGCTC